ACCCCCTGCTCTGCTGGGTGCGATCCCGCATTTTGGAGATAGACGTCAGAAGTCTTAACTGAGCAGAGTATTTCCACTTTTTTTCTGCCACTGGGAACGCTGGGGGTGGCAACCATTTCTCACTCTACACATTACAGAACAGCTTCCCGAACATTAAAGGCAGTGCAGGCTGAAGCACAAGCTGTGAGAAGCACCGGCTACAATGGCTCGTGATTTCTAACAAAGTAAAGAAATAGATCTTTGTCACGGATGCGCAGTCCTTCGCTTTCTGGCCCTGGCTGAAAAAAAAAAAACCTGTATCTGCACTAAATACAGCAGCGCTTGTACCAGCAAACCTCCTACTAGCCCTGCAGTGGCTCCCCCTGCTCCATTTTAGGGATAGTTTTCTAGGGCTTCACAAGCGCAGAAGCTTGCTAATGCTGTTCTGAGTACGCCTCGATGAGAATTTATGCTGAATGTACTTTCCTAGACAGCAGAACACAGGCAAGGCATTCTACATTCTCTCTTGTTAATCAGAAAGAAGACAGTATTCATTTTTTTATGCTACTCTGAAGAGATGGCATCTCATCCTGGAAGAAAAGCTGTCTTTACCGATTATTACAGTCTTGTATGAAATCTTGACCAAGTAGGATCTGAATTCATCCCGGCTGCCTTTGATACGTAAATGATCCCGAGATTTTGGATTTGGTCACCTCAAACACCTTTACAGAGAACAGAAAGATGTTGTCAGAGAGCTATGCAGAGCTGGAGTGGGCCGAGCCATCCCTTTCCACTGACTCTGGTGTGAACGTAGGCCAGAATTAACTATTCAAATCAATGTCTATAATTAGGTGGGATAAATCCGGACCCTAATGCCTCTGCATTACTCAGCTATCTCAAAGTAAACTGCATAAACCTCCTGCATCCTGGCTTCTAACGTGGAGGATGAGCCGTATGTGTGTCTTCCTAGTCGTGTCTGGGCACCTCTGGGGCTGATAAAGGTCTTTCCCAGGGCCTCCTGGAGCGGGACCCTCTCAGGTCACTCCTGATGCTCTGGGGGTCTTTTCAGGGTCTCTGGGGCTGCTCCGAGTGCTCCTGGGCTCCTTCCAGCATCTCTGGGGGAATATGTTGTTTATGTGCCAGAAATATCAATCACCATAACCTTTGTGTTAAGCCAACTACCAGAGGCTATTCAATATCCAGCAAAAGTCTTCACAGTGCTACTCTTCTCCTGCCCACCTCCTCACCTGACCCAGTCACAGAAGCAGCTGGATTATTGTTCTCCAAGCATAGATCATGGTATGTATACAAGCCATAATGTACCTGTCTCAAATGAATACCTGAATGACAAAAGAGTGCTGGCCCGATGTGCCCTGTTTGTGTAGAAAGAATTGAGGTCATCTGCTGCTTTTGCCTCAGTCCACCCCCACATCAAGGCAGCAGTTTGAGACTAGCTGGGTTTGGAGAACTCAATTACAAGCCTCTTTCAAGTTTTAGCTACAGTATGAAACAAGAAGAGATGCTAGGACTTGTAGACCTTGCCGGCATCCTAATGAATATGTATAATCATAAAAAGGCTCTGCTAAAACAATCAACGTACGCGCAGTAGAAGCTGTGACCAATAGATGAACTGTCTGTGCAAGAATGTGCTAACGAAGTTGTGTGGTAGAAGGCGAAGAGTACGGCCGAGTAAGAGACAGAGAAAAGGTAATCGAGAGAGACATTTACCTAGTTTGGGATGCTTGGCTGCCTCATGACAGGGCTGCAACATGAACATCCAGCCCAGGACAGAGGTGTCACCTAGCATAGTGCTGCTCTGCTCACCCTAGGGAAGGGTCGGTGAGCCAGCCGCCCACCTCGAGGCCTGTGAGAGGAC